CCGCGGGCCCAGCGTCCCCGCCTGTGCGGCCGGGCCCTGGAAGTGGAACCGCGGGGGCGCCGGCTCGCTGCTGTCCGGAAAGGGGGCCGAGCCCCTGGGTCCCCCAAAAGGAAGGGGCGCCGGTGCCCTCTGATTTGCAAACCGAGGTGGCGAGTGGACCCTCTGCTCCTCAAACTGCTGTGGCTGCATGCCCCTGGGTCCAGGCAGGAAGCTGGGGGCTTGGCCCCTGGGTCCTTCAAACTGACCGGGGTGGGGGCCGCGGGCGGTTTCAAATTGAGGGGGGTGCGGCCCCCGGGGGCCCAGAAAGTGTCCGGGTGGTGGGCCCCGCTGACCTCCAAACTGCGCGGGAGGAGGCCCCCCCCGGGGTCCTTTAAACTGTGACAGCAGAGGCCGCCTCTGGCCTCCAAACTGGAAGGGTGCAGGCCCCCTGCTCCCCATGAACTGGGCCGGCTCTGGACCTTCAAACTGGCCAGGAGGCCCTGCCATCTCGCTGTAAGGCGGGTCCTGGAATTCCCGCTTCTCTCCGTGGGGGTCCTTGCGGTCCTCCAATTGAGGGGGTGCTGCTCCTCTAGGGCCCCCCAGGTAAGAGGGGGCAGCGCCCCTGGGGTCTCCGTAAGGAGCGGGCCCATGCTGCCCTGAGAACAGGGAAGGGATGGGCCCCTTCTGAGTCCCGAATCTGGCCGGCGGCGGCCCTCTTGGCCCATCGTTACTGGGGACGAGCCCCTCCTCTGGAAACGGGGGGGCTGGCCCCCTGGGTCCCGGGAAGCCGGGGCCGTGAAGGCCTGGCACCCCGAAAGGGCGTGGGGCTGGCTCTCGCGGTCCTGGCAGCTGGGGCAGGGGCCCCGCCTTGGGCCCGGGGTGGGGGAAGAGAGGGGGCCCCTCGCCGGGCCTGCCTCTGTCCCCTTCGGCGTCAGGGACAGGGTTGTCACCTCTGTCGGCGAAGTGAGCATGTCGCGGGCCTTCGTACGGGGCGCAGCCGAGCGGCGCCTCCTGCACGGCCAGCCCGGGGCCAGGGAAAGGGGGC